ATAGTTAAAATCCAAAGTATGATATTAAAGTACTATTTTACAGGTAAGCAGTGTGCCTCTCTTTTAAATACCATCATTCTACAATAACACACACACACATGTATTTACTTATATTTACAGTCAATGCTTGAACAGAACAAGATATCGCAAGTCAACTCTGTGTGGGTGATTGCGAAAACATTAATCGGTGTTCCAAACACTTCAAAAATATAATTTTCCATTATTAAATGTTAAACTTTGTAACGATGTCGAAATATAGAAACTTCAATATGATACGACATACACGTAAGTATTAAAACTCGAAAAAAAATTGATCGAAGTGATAATTATAGTTTGTAATGCACGTGTCATAAAAATTCTAAACAAAATAACGATAAAAATATTTAACCGTAATGATAACTAAGACATGACTTATTATGAAAGGATCTGATGGAAAATTCAACAAAGGCTTAGAGGTAAAATCGGATGCATGGATCGAATACATATAACTTTTCTCTTTACATTTTTGTACTTTTATTATGTATGTTTTTACACGTATAAGGGTCTCCTTACTTAGGTAGGTTTTTAAGTCAGTGCCTGTGGATATTTAAGGCTACTATGTTCCGTTTATTTTAGGCGTAATTTTAAAAACATATAAATTAACACGTCTTAAATTGGACATCTTACGAATAACATTTGTTAGTTTTGATTCAAGTCGCTAGGTGGTTTGCACAAGTAAACGGCAAAGGGACTGATTCCGTGAGAGGGCTGTAAGTGTTATACGTAAATTATTAAAACAATAATTAAAAATGATCATGCGAAGTACCGTGTATATCACTCTAGAAAACTGTGCACAGGGATTTATAATAATTTATGACAATCTAATTTTTAAAATTACTGATAATTAGTTACTAAAGCGTTTTTTAATATATTTTTTTCTTACATTGACACCTAAGAGGTCACCTTGTTTATTTCATTGTTTCACTAATACAGGAGTACTGAACAAAATATTCATTTAGCCAATGTGTAATTTAAAAATGCAAATCTCTAAGAATATTTTAAATGCGCACTTCTCGAATGAAAAGTTCAAGTTCAAATTTATGTTAAAAATAAAATAATCCAACTTTTTATAAATGTATTGGTGACTTCTGAGGTGCCCTCTTCTGTGTAGTTTTGTTTTAACTTTTAAAATGCAATCATGAGAAAATAAACTTCGAAGGCACTTATGTATGTTTAGCATGTAAAGAACAATCTGTAAAACATTATTGTACAAAATAGCATGAAATTAAACTAACTTGTTTGATTGTTGTCAATATATTTTCATTATCTTATCAGTCTTTTGTGTTGTTGTTTTTTAAATTATATTTTTCAATAAGAGTTTTTAAAAAAAGTTATAAAACATTAAAAGAGAAAACTAAGCCTAAATGCACCACTGATATTAATGTATCCAAACGAAACCAGTTGATGCGACACAATACAGTTTAATCCCCAATCATCATGTAAAGAGCACAGGAAAGGACCATTCCAAGGATCTGGAAAACAAAGAAAAACTTTACGTTTTCTGGTACGTACTATACAGTGAATAATAAGTCCTTTAAACACAATATGCTAAGCAATTGGTGGTATGATATTTCAATGATAAAATTTTATTATTTAAATAATATGCAACAAAATAGAAATTTCAATAAATTAAACGGTTTCTTAACACTAGAATTTGTTGCTATAAATCTAAATATATGCAAATAAATGTCATTGCATACATATAAAATGGTTGCCGTCAATCCGTTTAATATAAGATTATCTGATAAAGAAACGTTTCTCCTTCCGTCTTTCTTTTGTTATTAAATCCCTAATTAATTAGATGTTAATTGCATACTCTGTTTTGTGGAAGGTAATAATTGACTCATTTAACTGGTTAAGTACTTGTACCTTTAAATTCAAAGCCAAAAGCATATTAAAAATGTGCTTTATTTCAGGGGCTTTTCAATCCCCTTTTTCGGGCAGAAGTCCTAAAACACAATATCCCATGTACGCTATCAGACAGTTTCAAGTTACCATTCAAAAATTATGGTAATCGAGCCACCCAACTCTGAATTATTGGATTCCAACACACATAATGGATCATCGTCATAGTAAGGTGATCTTAAAATGAAGTCTTAAAGTATGGTAGTTTATGAAAATATTGGAAGTTTTAAAATCCTAATGTTAAAGTACTGAAAATACACATGATTCTGTTTACCCGAACAATTTATCAAATGTCTTTATAAAAGAAAGAAAACACACACAAAAACATTATTCTGGAATAACTATTTCCGTATCAACATTAAGCATTAGATTAGATGGTATCAAACATCAAAGCCGTGTATCAATGAGTTTTATAGGGTTGTAATTGTGATGATATGTCACAATCACAAAAACCAACAAAATATTATAACAACGTGCTCTATACTTTAAAACCACCGTAATAAGTTATTAGTAAAAGTAATGACGGTGAAACATTCAACCTACACTTTGGACATGTTTTAAACTAAGACTGACAGTGATAAACCCAGCCATTAATAATGAGAAAAGCTACATATACAGAGAAAGCTAAGTTCATTTATGTAATTGGATATCTCCGCACTGAGCCAATTAATATTTAAATATAAGAAAGTGATTACACAGCAAACCCATTATTAAAAAAGTTATATCGTAAAACAAATTATTCGTCCTGGGAAACTAAATTTCACATAAAGAATGTTAAGAAGAAAAATTTGAACTATTCTCAGGGCTGACGAAAGGGAGGGAGGCAAGGGGGCAGCTGTCCCGGAGCCCGGCAGTGGGATATTCCAAAGCTCACTAGAAATGCATACTACTTAAT